CCACGGAGGAGAAAACAGGGCATCGACATGAAACTTTCGGAGCTCCGCGCGGAATTCTTCGATCGGCGCTGGGGCCCCCTGGCGGCGCCTCCGGCGCCACCCCTGGCGCGCTCCGCGCGCCATGGAGGGGGGGTAAAGCGTGGATCCAAGCAATCCGCGCGGGGACCGTCGAGGGTTTATGTTTATGCCCCTTTTTCTTCCTCTATTCCCTCTTGGGGGCCCCGAAACGGTGCGGTGTCCACACCACGTGGTGAGTCAGTGCGGGTTCGGGGTCGCCGCACGGTTTTCGGCGTCTCGGGCGATTGGGGCCTCCAGGGTTCCAGGGCGACTTCCGAGGACGTCTCGGCCTCCAGAGTCACAGCCTGGTCTCGGGTGACTGGGACCTCCAGGGACCTAAAACCGTGGTTGACGGACCAAGCGATGAGGTGGTTGGTGATTCTGCGGTCACCGCACGGTCCGTCACCGCACGGTTTTGGGGCCTCGAGTTCCTTGCTTCCCTCCCACATCTCTTCCCTCCCTCGTGTTTGCCGCCCTCCTCCCCCCCCGCGTCCCCTCTCACTCGTTGAGGTCGCGCTCTGCCTGCGCTTTGCGCCCGCGCCCCGGGCCGGCGGGGATACGGGGCAATCGCGACGGTGTTCTGCAAGGGGACTGTCTTCACGATGAGCAGGGACAGCTCCAATTCGACATTTTTCACCTCCCCCTCCATCATCGAAGAAGGAATGGTATCAACATTAATTGGCGCCCTCCAGAACGGCCAGTTCTCAGGACTTCTTGGGTTGTTGGTGCCCGATGTGCTCGTGTATTGGTTTCGTCATCATGTGGTTGGTTGCGTTGCTCTCCTGCGTCCTCTGTTGACCTTTCTCTCCCAGTAAACGCTGGGTACCATAGCGTTTCAGATTACATGTGCGTCTGTGGAAGGAGGTGGAGAAGACGGAGGAAGCGGAGGAGGAGGAGGAGGACCATCACGACGAGGGGAGGAGCAGGACGATGGGGAAGAAGGGGAGGAGGAGGAGGCGGAGGAGGAGGAGGAGGTGGACGAGAAACTTGAGGTGGAGAAGGAGGAGGTGGAGGAGGAGGCGGAGGAGGAGGAAGAGGACCAGAGTAGACCCAGGATGCATCAACGATGCTGCACCCTCCCCCGTTGCAAGTCCCCCCTCGCAATGTCGTCAAGATGTTTTTCTCACTATGGGGAGCGTCCCCTTGAAAGACAAGTGCCCCATGGCCTGTGACTGAAGCGAAGGCCTTGTTTTGAGAAGGAGCCAGCTATAAGCATTGCCAACGGCTGTGAAAGCTCACGGAAGAGACGAGCGAGGGCCCTAGGCCCTAGGTTTGAAGAGGAACCGTTTTCCATCCGTGCAATTGTTGCACTCTTTAAAATTTGGTATCGCTCGGACGGGTGCGCTCATTCGGCGAGGACAATCGACGAGCATCTTGGCTTATCTGGAGAAAAAGAACGCACGAAGCCGAAACATGCATGGGGAATGGACGTCCAAGCGATGGCGAGTGAAAAGCTATGGCCATAATGGTTGAGGTCACCTCCAAGCATGAGTCCCATGTACAAGAGGAACCGCCCTCCGTCCGCGCACCCATTGGACACGTTGAAGACGAGTGTGCGCGGCGCGAGAGCCACATGTAGACATCAGTTCGCCCTCCTCCCGTATGACGATTCGAACGTGCGCGGAGCTCCAGCGAGAGGCACATTTTGAGCAGTTTTCGTCGCCCATCCGAACAAGAGCTGGATAATTGAAGCTTTAGAATTCTAGCGGTGGGGGAAGATCCAGCGAAACGCCAGGTCCATATTGGCACGTCAGCTGGTGCGACGGGGCAGAGTTGTTTATGAGGACAAGGCGGACAAGGATGGAGGAGGAGACTGTGTAGGTCATGCTCCCGAACATGCGCTGGCAAACCTCCTCATCGTTCCCCCATCCTTCTCACCCTCCGTGCTCCTTCTCCTCCACCTCCTTCTTCTTCAAATGCTCCCCAGCACTCTCTGATCCACCTGTTGACCATGATCTTCTCCTCCATTCGGCGATCGGCGTTCCATACATGCGTACCCCTGCTGATGCCCCCCCCACTCTGGGCGCCACGCGCAGCAGGGTATGGATAAAAACACGGCTTCGGAGGCCAGGATTGTATCCATAATTCTGGTATGGCCTTGGTGGGGATCGGGGCGTGAGCAGGAGCATGGATAAGATGTCGAGCGCCGATCAATAGCCGTCTCGTGCGTCATCTTTGTGGCACATGCGCAAGACACCTCCGCATCCTCTTTGCTCCTCCTCCTTGCTCCCCCTTCCTTCGCAGCCTCCTTGCTCCTCTTCCTCCTCCTCGTCCTCCTCCTTCAAGAGCTCCCCAGCACGCGCTGACCCACCTGTTGACCATGCTCTTCTTCTCCCTCGCCGTCTCCTGCCTCATCTTTGCGGCGCATGCCCATGACACCAGAGCCATCCTGGGTTTCGACACCAACTCGCTCACGGAGCTGTCGGGAGCCGCGGCGGGGTAGAAACGTCCTCCTTCCTCGCTCGCCTCCCTTTTCCCTCCCTCCTCCCCCTTCCACTCCCCCTCCCCCCTCGCTCTTCTCTTCCCTCTCCCCCGCCCCCTTCCTCTCACTGCTCCTCCCTCCCTCCCCCGCCCTTGGAAAGTAAGTAGAGGAGGGGGAGGCCAGACCGCCCCTGCTGACGTCGCTGTTTCTCTCTCTCTCTCTATCCCTCTGTTTGATATGTTATTTTGTTTTTTTTCCGTCTCTCTCTCTCTCTCTTTCTCTCTGGTCTCTCTCTCTCTCTCTCTCCCTCATTATCGGTTTCTTTGTTCTATGTGCTCTCTCTCCCTCTCTCTCTCTCTCGTCTTCGGCCCGAGTTCCAGCAGGAACAGAAAGTGGCCAGGGCACGACATCTGCCGCGCCTTCCAGCTCGGTGAGACCGTAACCGGGGCCTTGGCCCCGGGACCGATTCGTGCCACCACCCCCTTTACCCTCCGCCGCAATGGCCTGCGCCGCCGCCCCGGTGTTCGCACCGCGCGTGGTGACCCCGTCATGGTCCACATCCTCAGCTGCGAGACGGGCAGGATTACACAGGAAGGCAACCAGCTTTCATGCAGTACGGCCATCTCCACCACATCCATGCCCTGAGCAACAAGTGTAAATTGTTCATCACGATGATTACGTCTTGTGCGTTCCCATCTTGGATGAGCATGCCCTTCCTGCCCCACCTCACGCCCCTCCCACCCCCACTCCTTGGGGCGCCTTTCAAGATTTCGAGACGACGAACAACGTCTCCAGGGTGAACTGCACGCGCTACGCGCTCTTGTTCATCCACTAGGCCGCCGCGCCGCTACAGCGGCCAGTCGGACCCCGAGGATCAACGGCAGCAACCAGCTGCACCCGATCTTCCGCGTCCTGCAGCTCTTCCATTGCACCTTCGGCTACGTCAACATTGCCGCCTTCGGCATCCGCGATGGCATCGGCAAGCTTTGCGCGCGCTTCGCCGCGATCCCCGCGATCCTCGGCAGCCTGCTCTGCTCCGTCGGCACGGCCTCGCCGGGCCCCGGGCCTCGTCTCTCGGGTTCCAGGGACCCCCTTCTTGGCCGCCGCGCCACTTCGGTGGCCAGCCGGGCCCTCCTGTTCGTCGGCAGCAACCTTCTGCACACCGGGGGCGCCCTCGACATCGTAGGCACGGCGGGCCTTGCCCTCCCCAAACGGGCCGCGCTCGCTCTGCGCGCGGTCTCCATGCAGTTCGTCGCGCTCTTCTTCAACGGCGCGACCCCGCCCGCCATTGCAGGCCCCGCGATCGCAGTCCAGGGCGAGCAACGCACGCCCTCGGGCCGCGCGCTCCCGGGCCATGGCCCGCATGCTGCCCGCCCGCCGCGCGTTCGCGGGCCATGGCTCGGGGTCAGCGCGCTCCGCCCTCACCGATGCCTCACCGACCACGATCCGCGCACTCGCCGCGAGCGCTACCTGGGCCACGACCCCGCCGTCGTCGCCCACGTCCGCGCCGCAGACCGCCGCCTGGCCACCCAGACTCCGCCGCCCCGCTGCGGACGCGGGGCGCGCGCGCCAAGACGCGCCGCGCACCGCCCCAGGGGGCCCCCGGGGCGACCCTGTCCCTGCGACCCCTGCCAACCCGAACCTCGGGATTCAAGTCGGCACGGAGGTCGCTGGTCGCTGTCCAGCGCCAGGAACGCAACCCAATCAACAGTTTCTGCTGCAATGTCCGAGGCCGCTCCGGCGACGCCAACCGACGTTGGATCGGTGCGCTAACCACCTGCCCCCCGCCACTCTGATCGTCGTCGCCGAAGCGCCAAGCCCCGAGGCCCCGCCCCTCGGCGCGCGCGCTACCCCCGTGGCCCCCGCCCAGGGGCCCTCCCTCCCCCCCCGCCCCGCCATCTACGCACGCGGCGCGGCAGAGGAGGCGAGTCGAGGATGGAGGTGGCGGGAGCGACAATCGCGACCACCACGCCAACCATGCGCCCTGTGGCCACGCCACTGGCGCACCGATCACAGTCGCGCGCCCAGCTGATGGGGCCACAGGCGACCACGCCTCCGAATGCCAATCTAGCGTCGAGTTGAACAGCGCGCGCGCCGAACGAAAATGCGACATGAGAACCAGCTCGTTTGCGCATCACCTTCGCAACGTCTGGCACCAACTCGTCACCGCTCGCTCTCAGCGCCATTGCCGTCAGAGTCATTAACGGCCTTCGCGCCGCCGCGCATGCCAATTGCTTCGCATGCCTCTGGCGGACCCGGTCCAGGACGCGGCCCGGGGGGGGGGGGGGCGGCGATCGCAGGCCTGCCTGACCAGGCTCCCTGGGAACGGCGCCGCTGAGCGCAACGCAGGCACTGCGCAAAAGTGCCCCCGCCGCACTTCCTCCCCCGCCCCCCCCGGGCCGTCCTCTGACCCCAGTCGGCTGCAGAGGAGGAGGAGGAGGAGGAGGAGGAGGAGGAGGAGGCGGGTATTGGAGGACATTTGACGACGGTGACGACAGGCGGACGCGCGGCTCCCAGACGGGTTCGGCCGACCCCGCCGCCGCTGGGCTGGCCCCCAAGTGCCGCCGTCGCCAGGCCGCCAGCCCCCCCGAGGCCCCTGGTAGCTAGCGACGGCCCTGCCGAACCTCGTCCGGCTTTCGCGCCCGCCTGTGTGCTGGCCGCGTACTTGGTTCACTGCCTGTTTCACCTCGCCCTCGGGCTTGACCTGCGCGTCCGTCGGCCAGGGGGGGCCGCCCTCGGACGGACCGACCTGCGCGTGACAGCCCATCGATGCATCGAGCTCCGATCACACGGTCCGCGGCTCCCTATTCGCAGTACTCGCTTGACCATCGCCTACAGCTCGTTCGCCCTCACCTTCTGCCTGGGCGAGGACCTCGGCCTCCCGCGCGGCGAGGTGACAGCCCTGGTCAAGCGTGCCTTCCCCAAGCGTCTTCGCGCCGACCCTCACTTCCTAATGCGGTTCTTAACCTGATCGGACGCCTTCGAAGCACGACAGGGCTACGCCATGTCTTTGGGCGCTCTCTGACGGCCACGTAGCATCGGGCGCGCCGCCTCCTTGCCTCACTAGGGCGCTGCTCCCGTGCGAGCCGCGCCCGCAGCCGGCGTGGCGCCGTCGCCTGGCACGCCCCCCGCCGTTGAGGCCACGCTTCAGCTACTGTTTCGTCGCGGCAGGAGCGCCGCTCGCAGGCGCACCCGCTTCTTCATCATCTCTGACGGCCACGCTGCATTGGGCGCGCCGCTTCCTTGCCTCGCCAGGGCGTTGCCCCCCCCTGCGTGATCCGCGACCACAGCCGCAGCGGTGCAGCCGCCTGTCGCACTCTCCGCCGTTGAGGCCGCGCTGCGGCAGCTGCAACTTCTCAGTGTGGGCGCCACTCGCAGGTGCACTCTTGCGCTCACTGCGCCAGCGCGCAGCGCCAACCGCTGGCATGCGTGTTTCACTCCGCTCTCTTCTACATTAGCCGTCTGACGGTGCGCCCATAACCGTCCACTGCAAGACACGCTCGCCTCACCCTTGCTTGCCCGTTCGGGTCTCCACCACGGCATTTGGCCTCAGTTCTTGCCGGCTGGATTGCCCGCGCGGTCGCGCGTCATCGGGGCTTGGCTGGGGCGGCGGGGGATACCCTGTCGTTCGCAAGCCGCTCAGCGGTCAAGCCCGCGTCCCCAGGCCGCCAACGGGGGCTTCGCCGACGTGGGCCCTTTTCCCACGCAGGGCGCAGAGAGACTTGGCGCACCGCCTGCTTAGCACCCCGCCTCTTGCTACAGTCGCTTAACGCCGGGTGGCGGTTGTTTCAACATCGCCCGTTCCCGAAGGTGCGCACCGCCGCCAAGAGTGCTATGATGGTGTCCTCGGCTACCGCAGTAGCCAGCTGTCGACGGGACTCCTGATTCCTTGTCCGTTATCTTTCTCTCTCTCTCTCTTTCTCACTCCCTCTCTGCAGACATTGAGCTGCCTGCAGATTTCATGCTGCCGTATCTTTTCATTCGAAAGCGCCCTGCCATGGACCAGCGCCCCATCGCACTCAAAACGCTGGAATAGGAACCGCTTCGAGGCCAGTAGGGGCTTTGGTTTTCGGTTCTTGCTTTAGTTTTAGGCTGGGGGCCTATCCGTGGACGAGGCTCGCAGTGGCCAGGATGGCATTGCCCTTGCAACCGGATCCGGCTGTATATGCCTCCCGCTGTCCGATCACTATCGTCCTTGCTTTGTTTCCTCAGCCCTGTCCTCCTCCTCCTCCTCCTCCTCCTCCTCCTCCTCCTCCTCCTCCTCCTCCTCCTCCACATCCCCCTCCATCTGCCTACTCATCCAAAGTCCCAGTCTTTTGTTGACCCCCAGGCCAGATCAACTCTCTAGTGCCCTTCGTGCTCGGCCTCTACCTCTCTTTGTCGCTGTCGCGGTGGTGGGAATTCCGCGCCGTGGGCCTGGGCAAGATCTTCGAGCAGCTGACAAGTACCGTGGCATTGCCAAAACGAGCGGAAGACGAACGAGCAGGGGAGAAGGAACGGAGGAGGAGGAGGAGGAGGAGGAGGAGGAGGAGGAGGAGGAGGAGGAGGAGGAGGAGGGTGAGGGAATGGATGCGGGAGGAGCGGAAACATTTGGAGGAGGAGGAGGAAGAGGAGGAGGAGGAGGAAGAGGAGGAGGATAATGAGGAGTAATCTGAGGAGGAGGCAGGCACTGACAGGCAGGGGGGGCGAGTGACCTATCCATGACGACCACGACGGCGACCTCTCCCCAGCGCGTCGCTGGCGCAGAGACCCCTCACGAACATCGGCGCTCGTTCTCGGAGGAGGAGGACGAGGAGGAGGAGGAGGAAGACGAACAGGAGGAGGAGGAGGAGGAGGAGGAGGAGGAGGAGGAGGAGGAAGCGGAGGCGGAGGCGGAGGCGGAGGCGGAGGAAAAAGAGGGGAGGAGGAGGAGGAGGAGGAGGAGGAGGAGGAGGAAAATGAGGAGGAGAAGAGGAGGAGGAGGAAGAAGAGGAGGAGGAGGAGGAAGACGACGACGACGAGGACGACGAAAACGAGGACGA